GCTAATGATGTTGAGCATCTTTTTGTATGCTTACTTGCCATCTGTGTATCCTCTTGACTGAAACGTCTCTTCATATTTTTTTGCCCATGTCCTGATTGGATTGTTTCCCTTTTTAAACTATTGAGAGTTGAGAACTCTTTATATGCTCTAAATACCATCCTTTGTTGAATATATGTTGTTTGCAAATATTTTCTCCCACTCTGTAGCTTGACTTCTTAACAAAGTCTTTTGCAAAGCAAAAGTGTTAAATTTCAATAAAGTCTGATTTATAAGCTCTTCCTTTTATGGATTATGCTTTTGGTGTTAAGTCTGAGAACTCTTTACCTAGCCCTAGATACCAAGGATTTCCTCTGATTTTTTTTTTTTCCCCTAAATGTTGTATCGTTCTGCATTTAAGTTCATGATTCATTTTGAGTTAGTTTTTGTATAATGTGTGAGACTTAGGTTGAGGTTCTTTTTATTTCCCCTCTGGATTCCCTGTTGCTTCGGCATCATCTGTTGAAAGGCCATCTTTCCTCCACTGAGCTGCCTTTTCACCGTTGTCAGAAATCAGTTGGGCATATTTGTGTGGGTTTTCTGTCCTATTCCATTGTTCTGTGTGTGTGTGTCCCTGTGCCAGTTATCCTGATTAATGTAGCTGAGGGGATCAGAGAAGTTGTCAATGGAGCTAGACTCTTTGAAGGTGCTTTGTTCTGAATTGTTTGGCTTCAAAAAAAAACTGCATGGACTTTTGAAGAGGTGTTGTGGCAGAAAAGGGATGGGGATTTGGGACTGGACCAGACAGCCTTGCCTGCTCTGTCATAAGTGTATCAGCATTTTGTAGGCAGCCATTTATCAGCCTGCACCACTTCCTTGGAAGCCAAACCTGACAAGCTCCGATGTTATCTGTAGCAAACACCTTTTTCTTGTTTGTGAGGGTGTCTCTATGTGTGCGGTTATGCTTACACCTGCACTCCAGAGATTTGAAGACAGCTCTTTCTGCAGAGACTAGCACCGAAGGGCATACATCAACTGAACACAAGCTAAACTGTTAACAATATATCTTTTAAAAGTGCACCTTACCCACACATTTACATGTATATGCATGAGCCTGCGGCATGCACACACACAGCACACACGGAGCTCTGTAAGCGGTGGCCTGAGCAAGACTTTAGGTGACTATAAATAAATAGTACTTATGTTTATTTTCCTTAGCTTTATCCTGTCTGGCTAGACCCTAATCTTCATTTCTGCCTAAGGCTTATTAAGCATCAGTTCTATCCCCATGACTAACTAGATGTAGTAAGGAATTCATGTAAGAAAATGATTCATTAATTAGTTCACTACATATTTCTCAAGAACCAGTTATGTGCCAGGTACTATTCTAAACACTGACAATGTGTCATGGGATAAAAAAGAACCAACCCTTGCCCTCATGGAGTTTACATTCTGGGAGCTGGGTACATACAAGCAACAGAAATGTGCTATTTTTAGGTGGTGTAAGTGCTAGGAGACCAGTATAGCAGAGTAAAGGGAGAAAGAGCGTGAGGGTTGGGGGGTTGGGAATGGCCTCTTCGATAACCTGACATTTGACTAGAGACTTGGAAGGAAAGAATAAGCAATGGGAATATCTGAGGGAGGATTATTACAGGCAGATGGAGCAAGTAGAGCAAAGGCCCTGAGGCTGGAGTGTGTGGCTAGAGCTGAGTGGGCGGAAAATGGCAGGAGGTGAGGTGACAGAGGTGGGGAGAGGGACCACCTTGGCAACGATGAGGTGGTTCTTCCTCTGAGTGGGCAGGAAAGCCACTGGAGGTTCTGTGCACAGAAATGAGATGTTCTGATTCACATCTGATTCACATGAGCTTCCCAGTTGAGAACAGATCACAGGATGAAAGGGTGGGAGCAGGAAGACTACAAAACAGTGGACTAGATCCAGTGAATAACAGTGGAGATGCGGAGAGGTAGCCAGAGCGTAGGTAGATTTTGAACCGTCTTGAGCCAACAGGATTTGCTGTTGGACTCGATGTGGAACGTGCAAGAAACATCCGGTGAGGATACCAAGGTTTTTGGTCTGAGCAACGAGAAGGCTGGAGTTGCTCTTAACTGAGATGGGAAAGATTGCAGGGGGAACAAGACGGGAGGCTATCAAGAGTTCGGTTTTGAGCACATTAAGTGTGAGTGAGATGCCTAATAGTGAAGATTCATCTATAAGTCTCAAGTTCAATAGATGGGTCTGGGCTGGAGATAGAACCTTGGGAATTGCAGCAGTTAGATGGCATTTAAAGCTGTGAGACTGAATAAAATAACCTAAGGAGTGGGTGTAAGGAAGAGAAGAGCCTGAGAACTGAGCCTTGAGCATTCCAGTGTTTAAAGTTCAGGGGGGTGAGAAGGAACCAGCACTGGGGATGGAGACAGGCCAGGGAGATAGGAGGGAAATTGAGAGTGAACACTGAAGCCAAATGAAGAAAGTGCTTCACAGGAGATGGAATAATAAACTATTACAAGATGTTGCTGAGAGATCAGGTAAGGCCCAAGAGTTGATTTAGCAGCATTGAAGTCTCTGGGGGACCTTCATTGAGTTACTTTAGTGGGGAGAGGGAGGCAGCCTGATTAGATTGCTTTCGAACAAACAAATAAAAAGAATGGGAGGAGAGGGAACCAAGATCAGTAATATAAAAAACTCTTTGAGGTTTTACTATAAAAAGTAGAAAAACAGAGACATAGTTGGAGGGGAATGTGGGACCAAGTCAAGCTTTTAATTTTTTTTCTAAGATGGGAGACGTTGGTGTTCTGATGGGAATGATCCCAGCAGGGAGGGAAAATGCAGTGATTCTAGGGGGGCGGGGAGTTGTTAAAGGGATGCCCCCATGGAGGTGAGAGGAGATGCACAAGTGGAAGAGATGTCCTTACGTTGGATGAACTGTCTGTGCTCCCTGGTAACAGAGCACTCTGCTACAGATGCAGGCAGGCTGGGAGACGTGGTGATGGGACACGTGTAAGTTCTCTTTTGATTGCTTATGTGTTCTCATGACGAACACGAAACGAAGGAGTGGAGGTGTTGAAGGTTTAAAGAGAAAGAAGTTCAGAGATTGTTGCCAAAAAAACAGAAGAAAGTCATGGACTAGGTAAATGTCATAGAATTTTGGGACTGCCTGAGGGCCTCCTTGAAGTTCAAGTGAGAACAGTCAACATAGTTGTATGATTTTGTCTAGCTGAGTGGGACAGGCAGAGCCTTAGACTTATGCAGAGGTTGCAGTTTCCCCGGATAAATAAGAAAAATGAAGCCCTGGCCAGTGTGGCTCAGTTGGCTGATCTTCACCCCATTCACTGAGAGAGATTCTCCGTCAGGGCACGTACATGTGTTGTTGGCTCGATGCCCAGTAGGGGGCATGCAGGAGGCAACCGATCAATGTTTCTCTCCCTCTCGCTTCCTCTCTCTCTAAAAATCAATAAACACATTTGAAAAAAAAAAAAAGAAGAGGAATGGAGAAAGAAGCAAAGGAATGATTACAATGAAGGATCAGAAACAAAGTCAGGTAAGGGGAGAAGTGAGGACAGAGATAGAAGGTGAGAGAGAAAAGATGGTAGGATTATTGGAGTGAAGGTCCTAAAGGGCTCTAAAGAATTATGATAAACATTATACTGTCTGAAAACACCCCGTGTCTATAATGTTGGTCCACCTGGGGCCAGTGTAATAGTATCTTACTGTGGTTTTAACATGCACTTTTCTGGTTGCTACTGATGTGGAACCACTTTTCATTGGTTTACCGGCTGGCTGTTTTCTGTCTTTTATGAGATGCAGCTCAAGTGAGCCCATTTTTCTGTATTTTGGGTTTTTTATGTATTTGTAGGGATTCTTATATCCTGGAGACTGATACTTTGAAGCTTGCGTGTGTTGTAAAATTCTTCTCTCACTGGATGACCGATGATTTAGCACTACCTATGGTGTCTTTTATGAAGAGTTCTGAATTGTAACATAGTCCAAATTTTCAATGTTTCTCTTAATAAATAGCACTATTTTTAAAAATTACAATAATTATCAAGTCATTGGCATTTGAAGTGCTTTAGGGTGGTAAACAAAATGCTCTGGGTGGATTTGCATAAAAAACCCCTGTAAGGTAGTAGGTGCTGGTGGTGGTGATGTTGATTGTTATATAAATGAGACAAGATCCAAAGGCCTGAATGACCTAATCTAAACTCACACAGCAAGTCAGTGGTAAAGCATAGAGTCAACCCCAGGCCCTCTGTTTTACCACTTTGTATGGTGTCTGCTCACGGATCACTCAGCCTTGTTGAAGAGATGGACTGTAGAAGACAAATAGGCAATACATAATCAAGTGTTCAATCCTGTAGTATGGAATGATATATGGAGCTTATTCATTAATACATATTGAGTGCTTAGTATGTGCAAGGCTCTGTTATAAGTACTGGGGATATAGCAGTAACAAGACAGGTGCTTCAGAGAAGTTTTAGAAGGGTGTCTCTGTGATTCTTTCAGGGCATCGTGATTTGGTAAAAAAAAACAAACACAAAAACAACAATGTACTAAGAGTTAGGAAGCTTGTTTTTCTGCTGTTTGCTGCATGTGACATTGTTGCTTCAACTCGCCATGTCTCCGTGGGGGTCCCCATCCATGAACTGAGGTGTTACGGTTTTGCAGGCTCCACCCTGACTAAAAGTGCTGTGAGTTAGAGTGTGCGCCCTGGCCCTAATGGAATAATTGCTCTAGAGTGTTTTAGTGCGCATCTAACCTCCTGATCTAAAAAATGGGAATGCCACAGTTCATTTCATGGTGATAAAACCATTTCCACAGTGAAATGCTACACTAGCGTGCAATTCTAAAGTCGTCTTCCGTTTCTGAACCTCGGGGGCAATAAATGTGGGAGGCAGGTGGAGGCCACGTTCAGCCTGCAGGCGCAGCCGTCTCCATTCTTAACCTAGAGGTAACCTGAGGACCTGTGAAAAGCTTTGAAAAAAGTAATGATCTTTCTCCGCCTCTTCTTACTTCCGTTCAGGCCTGGAAGAAACGCTGGTTTATCCTGCGGAGCGGCCGGATGAGCGGCGACCCAGACGTCCTGGAATACTACAAGAATGACCACTCCAAGAAGCCCCTGCGGATCATCAACCTCAACTTCTGCGAGCAGGTGGACGCAGGCCTGACCTTCAACAAGAAGGAGCTGCAGGACAGTTTCGTGTTTGACATCAAGACCAGCGAGCGCACCTTTTACCTGGTGGCCGAGACCGAGGAGGACATGAATAAGTGGGTCCAGAGCATCTGTCAGATCTGTGGCTTCAATCAGGCTGAGGAGAGCACAGGTAAGAAAACAAACAGGGACCCTCGTCAGAAGGGGCAAGGTGCCTCCTGGAGGAGGCTGAGCGGTTGGGCTATGAGGAGGCCTTCAGATTCCTTGAACAAGGAGAGCTGGCTGCGGCTAAAAGCTCTCCTCAGCCGAGGAGTGATAGGCAAAGGGTAAGAGCGTGAAGGGGTCGCCAAATATTAGAGGGGCCCCTGCCCTGTTGACACTCACATGGGAAACTAAGATCTATTGGGGTTGTGATTGAAGCGAAAGGTACTTTGTGCTAAAGATACTGTCTTCGGGTACCCCAGCAGCACCCCATTTCTCAGCCCTGCACCTTTCTCCCCCTTCCTCGGCTCTCTAGCAGACTGTACCCTGTTACCTGTCATCCATCCTATAGGGCAGCTCTCACCTCAGTCTTTTTTCCAGTCCATCTCTGTCTGTCTAGCCCATCTGTGTCACACCATCCTGCACAGTTACACTTGCGAATTTTTATATTTTTTTTGGTTTGGGGCTCTTTGGGATTATTACTGATGTATAATTCAGTGTTCCTTTCTATACACTTGAGAGGGGACAGGTGAGAAAGGGAAATGCTGATTTATGTTTGGGTTTTGTTAACCTTCACAAATTAGCTTTTTGAAATGAGTTTTAAATTGCAAAAACCCTCGCTGACATTTGTTTGGACTCATCCCCAGCTCTAGGATGATTGAGGAGCAGGATTTTTTGAGGCAGGTGGAGAACCTAAATCAGTGGTTCTTAAACCTGGTTTGCACAGCAGTTAAAGAGAAGCATTTAAAAAACATTGGTGCTCAGGACCCCTGCCAAATCAGCTACTAAGAATCTCTGAGGCATTCGTGTCTTTTAAAAGCTTCATTCTGAATAGCAGGGATCCGGGGTGCAACAGCCATTTTTTGTAAATATTTGAAGGCCACATATCATCAGTCTCTGTTCCATATTCCTATTTTTAAAAAATTTTTTTACCACCCTTTAAAAATATAAAAACCATTCTTAGCTCATCAGCCATACCAACATCATCTGGGAACCTGCAGAAATGCAAATTCTTGGCTCCCTCCCCAGACTTGGTGAATCAAAAACTCTGGGGGTGAGGCCCAGCAATCTGTGTTTTTAAAAACCCTGCCAGGTGAGTTTGAGAACCACTGGTCTAAACTCTTGCTACTCAGAGTGGGGTTTTTGGACCAGTAGCAGCAGCTTCTCCTGGGAGCTTGTTAGAAAGGCAGAGGACTTCACTCAGACTTACAGAATCAGAATCTGCATATTTTTCAAACTTCATATTTTGAAATAATTTAGACTTGCAGAAGAATTCCAAAATTGTACAGAAAATTCCCATATCCCTTTCTGTCAGCTTTTCCTAATGTTAACTAACATCTGTCTCACCTAATCATGGTACAGTTATCAAAACTGAGCAGTTAACATTGGTTGGTATCGTACTGTTGGCTCAACCACAGTTTATTTAGATTTTTACCTGTCTCTCACCAATGTCGTTATTCTGTTTGGGATTCAGTCCAGGATACATTGGACTTAGTGGGCATGTCTCTGAGTCTCCTCCAGTCTGTAACAGTTTCCCAGTCTTTCTTGTCTTTTTTTGACCTTGACACTTTTATAGAGTACTGGTTACATGTTTTGTAGAATGTCCCTCACTTTGAGTTTGTGTGGTGTTTTCTCATGATTGGGTTGATGTTATCAATTTGGGGGAGACAGCATTACCACAGAGGTGATGTGTCCTTCCAAGCGTGTTGTATCAGGGGGCACATGATATCAATATGTCATCACTGGTCATCTGGTCATGTTAACTGTGGTCACTTGGTTAAGGTGGTATCTGCCAGGTTTCTCCACTGTAAAGCTACTATCTTTACTTTTATAATTAATATTTTGGAAGAACTAACTTTAAGGATGTGCAAGTAGCCTATTTCTCCTTAAGTTTTGCCCACTGGTTTTATCATCCAGGAATGGAACAGTTACTACTGTGGTATTCTAAGGGTGATTTTCTGCTTCCCTCAGAAGCCACATTTTATTAAGATCTCCAGGTTATTTGTATGCACTTTAAATTTTGAAAAGCACTGGTCTGGATTATTCATTCCCAAACCTGATGGGTCATCAAAAACTTTTGTATTTTAACTTTAGGTATGATTCAGTAGATTCAATTTAGGGTTGAGGAATCAATAGTTTTTTAAAGTCCCTCTGACAGAATGAGAGACACTATTTCCAAATCATATAACTGAAAAGGGCCTAGTTTCTAGAATATATAAAGAACTCTTGCAACTCAACAACAAGTCACATAACCCCATTTTAAAATGGGCAAAGGATCTAAATAGACATTTAGATGTGCTCATTTGCCATTAGGGAAATGCAAATCAAAACCACACTGAGATATCACTTCATTCTCACTAGGATGAATATAATTAAAAATATAGACAATGACAAGCGTTGTCAAGGATGTGGCAAAACATACATTGCTCATACATCCCACCCCAGATATTGCTGGTGGGGATGTAAAATGGTACACTTACTGCAGAAAACAATGTGGCAGTTTTTCAAAAAGTTAAACCTATGACAAAGCAATTCCATTCCTAGGCCTGTACTCAAGAGAAATGAGAACATATGTTCATGCAAAACCTTGCGTGTTGAGTATTTATAGCAGCATTATTCATAGTAACCAAAAAGTAGAAACTTGAATGTCTATCAGTAAACAAAATGTGGTGTGAAGTGTGTGTGCGTGTGTGTGCGTGCGTGCGTGCATGCATGTGTATATTATTTAGCCATGAAAAGGAATAAAATACTGATACATTCTACAACATGGGTGAACCTTTAAAACATTATGCTAAATGAAAGAAGACACAAAGAATCACATAGTTCATGATTTGATTTACAGTCAGCCCTCTGAACCTGCAGGCTCTGCCTCCACAGATTCAACCAACCATGGACTGCTTGAAAAGAAAAAATGTTACATTGTTGCTGGTAATACTCTGTAGTTAGGCCTAACTACAATGTAGTTGCACCTGTACTAAACGTGTACAGACTTTTGTCATTATTATTCCCTAAACAATACAGTGTAACAACTATTTGCATAGCACTTAACAGGTATTATAAGTAATCTTGAGATGATTTAATTTATAGAAGATATGCATAGGTTATATGCAAATACTATGTCACCCATGCTGTACATTACATCCCCAGAATTTATTCATCTTATAACTGGAAGTTTGTACCCTTTGACCTTTCCCAAACCCACACCCACACCCCTACCCCTGGCAGCCACTAATCTACTCTCTGTTTCTGTAAGTTCATTTTTTTAGATTCTGCATATAAGTGAGATTATACAGTATTTTGTTTTTCTCTCTCTGATTTATTTCACTTAGTATAGTGACCTCAGGATTTATCCATGTTGTTGCAAGTAGCAGGATTTCCTTCTTTTTATGGCTGAATAATATTTCAATATATATTATCATATTATATATATATACATATGTATATGTATGTGTGTGTCACATTTTCTTTATCCATTCATTCATCAATGGACACAGGTTTTTTTCATATTTTGGCTATTGTAAATAATGCTGCAGTGAACATGGAGGTGCAGATATCTGTTCAAGATAGTGATTTCAATTCCTTCTGATATATACCCAGAAGTAGAATTGCTGCATCATATGATAGTTCTCTTTTTAATTTTTTGAGGAACATCCATACTGTTTTCCATAGCAGCTGCACCAGTTTACATTCCCACCAACAGTGCACAAGGATTGGCACTTACCTCTTATCTTTTTTATAATAGTCATTCATTTAACAGGTGTGAGGTGACCTCATTGTGGTTTTTATTTGATTTTCAGTTCCCCGATGATTAGTGATGTTCAGTATCTTTTCAGGTACCTTTGGCCATTTGAATATCATCTTTGGAAAAATGTCTATTCAGGTCCTTTGCCCACTTTTTAATCAGGTGTTTTTGTGTGGGAGGGGTGGTGTATTAAGTTATATGAATGTCTCAAATATTTTGGATATTAACCCCTTATCAGATGTGTAGTTTGCAAATATTTTCTCCCATTCCTTAGGTTGTCTTTTCATTTTGTTGATTGTTTCTTTTACTGTGCAGAAACTTTTTTAATGTATTCCCACTTACTGATTTTTGCTGTTACCTGCCTATGCTTTTGGTGTCATACTAAAAAAATATCATTGCCAAGACCAACGTCAAGTAACTTTTCTCTGTTGAAGTGTTTTTTAAAAAATATATCTTTATTGATTTCAGAGAGAGGAAGGGAGAGGGGGAGAGAGACAGAAACATCAATGATGAGAGAGAGTCATTGACCGGCTGCCCCCTGCACGCCCCCAACTGGGGATGGAGCCCGCAACCCGGGCATGTGCCCCGACGGAGAATCATCGAACCGCAGTCTCCTGGATCCTAGGTTGATGCTCAACCGCTGAGCCACACCTGGTCGGGCACAGTGTTGAAGTTTTTCATTTTTGAATAAGGGGCCTAGCATTTTCACTGTGCACCAGGCTCTGCAAATTATGTAGTCAATTGGGTCTGGACTAGATGTCCTGTCCTAGGAACTCTGATTTTTATCTTTCCTTGAGGAAGGATTATGAGCCCCCATTTTACTCTTGAATTCTTTGGTATAATCTTTGTTTTCTGTGTGAAATTTCCTGTTTCCCCCCAACCTTTGACATTTATATGCTTCGTGGGTTTTGCTTCTGTCTTTACCTTTATTTTATTCCTGGTAAAGGAATAAAATGCTCATTGGGAAAAGGGGAGTGTATAAGAATGGAATTAAAAAAAAGCAGGGGAACAACTCCCATAGACCTCCCAGTCGCACAGCTTTCATACATGTGAGAAATAGGTTCAAGGAATACCTCAGCTTTTTAGGGGGGAAGGGAGGAAGTAACCAGAAAGTAAATTGCTTTTAATTGAATTATTTCCTTGTGGGTTTTTAAATGTTCCTACCAAGAAAAATATACCTTGAGATGTAGCAAAAATCACTCAGTGCAAATATCTTTTTTAATCACTTA